TATTTATATTTATTTTTTAATTTTATTATTTAATTATGAGAACATTGGTTGTTGACCCATTTGATGCCAATGGTTGAACTATTTACTTGCCACTCAGACAAAGGGTGGTTTATTTTATTATTTTCCATGTTTAGGTTTTACATTATTAAAGATATTAGATATAGATTTATTTTGTAAAATCAATTTGTGAGAAACAAAAATACTTCAAATAAAGCATCTAAAGAGAGAGAATGAAAGTCAATACCTTAATGAGAGGAAATTTAATGAAATGGAAAGTAATAGTAATTTAAATTATATATTTTTTGTCCACATAGTTAGTTAAAGAGGGATTAAATTCATAAATATTTAGTAAAAAAAAAAAGTCCACAAAGCTCATTTATTTAGTGTGCTTTGAACACAATATTTAATGAAAGGGATGAAACTTAATAACTTAAATATAATACTTAACGATGAGGAATATAATGAATTTAATAAAAGTAGTAGTTCAAATTATGTTTTTTGCCTTCATAAATATAGGAAGACAAAGTTCAAAGAGTAAGGGTATTTTAGTAAAAAAAATCCAAAATCTAGACCTCATTCACACTTTTAATAGTAGTTCAGTTACAAGGGCAATTTTGTCTTGGTCAGCCGTGTCCATCCTAATATGATTATAGCCAGAGTAGGCATCCATGAAACTCAACAACTCATGCCCTGAGGTCACATCTACCAGGCGGTCAATTCTGGGTAAGGGGAAGCAATCCTTTGGGTAGGCTCTGTTTAGGTCAATGTAGTCGACGCACATGCGTCACTTGCCATTGGCTTTCTTCACAAGCACCGGGTTTGTGACCCAGCTTGAGTAATGGACCTCCTTGATGAAATCTGCAGCGAGGCGCTTCCCGACCTCCTCATCAACTACCCTCCATCGTTTTGGGGTGAGGTTGCGTTTTTTTTTTTGTCGAACTGGCCTAACTAAAGGGTCCACATTCAGTTTGTGAGTTATGACACAAGGGTCAATTCCAGGCATTTCTGCCGTAAATCAGGCAAAAACGTCTAAATTGTTAAGTAGAAAACTTACTAGTTGATTTCGAAGTGGTTCGCTTACAAGTGCTCCAATCTGGAGAGTCTTAGTCGGTTCGGTCTCGGACACTGGTATGTGGACCGTCTCTTCCATCAGGGCAGCTCGCTCCTCACTGTAGTCTGTCGGTCGTTCCAGTACAACGTCCTTTGCTATCTTTGCTTTTCTTTTGAGAGCAACCACATAACACCTCTGGGACTCGAGTTTGTCGCCTCGTACTACTCCCACTCCGCAATCCGTTGGGAACTTCATCGCGAGGTAGTAGGTCGACACTATTGCGTGTAAAACATGCGTAATTGACCGACCTATAATTGCGTTGTACGGGGATGGGGTAGTGATCACTAGGAATTTGTGCTCAAACCAAACAATATTTGGCCACGTGCCCACCTCTACTGGTACTATGACACGACCTATAGGACTAACTTCTTCTCCACTGAACCTTACTAGTAGGGCGTCTGCCAGTGTTAGGTCGCTTTGTTGTAATTGTAGTTTGTCAAAGGTTTCTTTGAAGATGATATCTATCGAACTACCTGAGTCCACCAAGATCCACCTTACTTCAAAGTCATTGATGACCATCTTCACGACCAGGGCGTCGTTATGAGGATATTGGATCCCACGGGCATCGTCTTCGATAAAGTAGATTGGTTCTTCGATCCAAGGTCATTTGGGTGGGTTCTCTGCTTCGTGCTTTAGCTCTCGAAATAATGTTCTCCCAGCCGCCACTGTGCACCCCGCTACAATAGATCCCCTTGTGATCATATTAATCATTCCGTGGATCGGTCTCTCTTCTGGCAGCAGGCGAGGTGGCTATTCGTTCTGTCTATTACTCTTTGGGGCGTCTTTTTTCTGATCTCCCTATCGGTTCCCTTGTTCCTTTTCTTTGTGTAGAATGTACTTTTTCAAGTACCCACGATGGATCAACTCTTTAATTTCGTCGCGGAGGTTTCTACAATTTTCTGTGCTGTGACTATGGTCCCAATGAAAGTGACAATAGACGTTCGGGTTCCTAGTCGTTGGGTCTCCGCAGAGTCTAGGTGGCCATCTGACGATAGAGGAATCCTTTATTGCCATTAAGATCTCTCATCGCTTTGTGTGACCCAACCTGTAACTCCGCGAGGGGGATTTGCTTCTTCGCTTGGGGGACTTGTCTTTCTTTTCTTGTTGCTTGTCCCCTCTTCCTCTCTCTCTCTTTTTTTTTTCTTCTGGCTGGTTGTCAGTTTTTTGGTTTATTTCCTCTTCAGTGCTGATAAACTAGTCTACCAACTGGAGGAACTCAGTGATGTTTTTTGGTTTGTTGGCTACAACGTGCCACTTGAACTCTTTATGGGTGATGCCTTTGCGTGCTAGGGTGAGACGTACTTCTAGGTCAAGGTCCGGTATCTGTAGGCATGTCTCGTTGAAACGTTTGATATAACTGCGGATTGACTCTCCCTCCCTCTGCACCACGTTCAAAAGGCTCTCCTATGACTTCGGGCACTTCTTACTAGTGATAAAGTGGGTTGTGAACATGTCTGTGAACTGCGCCCAACTTCCGATGGAACCCAATGCCAGGCTTCTATACTAGGTCCGAGCTACTCCTTTGAATGTGGTGGAGAAAGCCACACACATACAAGCCTCATCCGCCCCGACAAGGTGCACTTAGGATTGGAATGTGTCCACATGATCATTGGGATCAAAAGACCCATCGCACTTGTCTAGCAGTGGGATCTTGAAATCTTTCGGAATTGGGGATGCTAGGAGCTCAGGTATCAAGGGAGAAGGCCGGCTCAAAAGAGCAGGCATTGTTCTTGTGGCCACCGAGCTCACCTCCTCTCTTTCCTGACCTTGGTCAGCCGGATGGTTGGGCTTTGTTGCTGGATCATTTATTGCTGATGAACGGCGAGTCTTGAGACATTGCTGCTGCTGCTTTTTCGGTGGAGCAACATTTGTACTACCGGCCTTCGTGTTGTTAGGCACTTCAATCTTACTTCGAATAGTAGGCCCGCACCTCGGACCTCGGATCGGTGCTCCACATGGGAAATTTGCCTGTTGTGCCTCTCGAGCTGGCTGGGTTCGGGTCTATTCCTTGGGCTTTCTCTTCGAGAAGCAAGGGGAGTATGTCGGTCACCTACAACACCCCGGGGCGGGGTTCACCCCAAATTGGGGGCCAGTACTTATGAAGTTCTCTCCCTGTGGAGCAGGGACTGGTGTTGGTTGTTCGCCGACTGGTTTGGTTGCAGCGGTGGGAACTAGTGCTGATACTGTTGATAAAAGTAATATTGCTGGAATTGATGAATCTGCATCGTTCGAACACTCTGGACGAGGTTGCTGAATTGGGAGTGTCCAATCCCAGGGGTAATCATGGAAGGCTTCGAGAATGCATCGCTCACCTGGGGGAGCGGGACACTCACCTGTTGGGCAGTGTGGGGTGCGGACAGTGATGGGACTCCAGATATGGTCAGAGGAATGGTGAACTGGCTGATTGTCACCGAGGGTCCTTGGGGAGAGACTATCTGCTGCTCTTGCCCCCCAATGATGTTCATGTTACCCTTATCGTTGTAGTTGGAAGATGCCATTGAGGTTAAGACTGAGTTTGAAACTGTAAACAAATTGGGATGACCTTTCGGTCGTGTTCCCACAGATGGCGCCAATTGATGATGCGTGATCTAGAAGCTCCTAGCTGGAAGACGACCTAAACCTTAGTCGTGTAGCGAGCTGAACCAAGCTACAAGACAGAGGATTAGAGCACCTGGGGCGGTTAACCCGGCGGGGTCGCTTTGATGCTTAAGTCAATACTATGTCGTGATTGCGAGATAGAATCTGAGTGCTAGAGAGCTTGGATGCAAGTAATCGCGCGTACATAGACCATGGAGGGGTTGATGCCTTTATATAGCTGAGTTATTACGGGTATCTTAGAACAGTTCCGAGATCTACAGCCTGAATGGACGAGATCCGTTTCTTCTTTAGTTGGGGAGTAACGTATCAGTCAATGAACTTCCTTATCGCCGCCTGATTCGGACGGGGAGAAGATAAGGCTTGCCGTTATGCAGTATGATCCCACAATATTTGAAGTCTGCTGGGAAGCTATTGGGATTTATTATGTGTCACTTCGGTTCCCGGGCCCTGAACTCGATTAGCCGCCGAGGTGGTGTTACGCCGAGGTAACCTTATGCCAAAGTGACTTTATGTCGAGCTCCGCATACCGCTGACTAAACTCCCTTTATTGAATTATCATCCTACATGCAAATCACGTCCACGTAACTTTTATTTACTAGGTCACGCCAAATTACTTCTCATCAATAACATTTAACAAAAACTAAATAGGAAAAATAGAATCATCAAACCCAACACAATTATAATCTATTTCGAAAACTTTGGATTGGATTAGGGTTGGAGTGGGGTTCAACAACTTGGATTAAGTTAGATTAGCCGAATTAACCTGACCCGCCTTGCATCCCTATTCTGATAAATCTATTCCTCCATTCCAAATTCCTAACACGTTTTCTCTCCTTATCTTCCATCTATGGAATGTATCTAAGAAGATATGTTTTTATATTGACAAGTTGGAGCGTTGAAAACTGAAAAGCTACTATTACTTGTGAAAATCACTAAAATAGGTAGGAAAGATGGGGTTCAAACCTATCTTATCCAAACTTAGCATTTTACACTTTTCGGGCTCGGGCCTTCGGACGGGGCCCATTCAAATTTACAAAAGCCCAACTGGAAGCCCGCGGCCAGAAGGTATCCTCACGTCACGTGTAAGGTGTTTGTGCTGTTGTGCAGTGAATTAACTCACTGATAGTTGCATTATTCATTTATTTGTAAGAGGATATCAAGCAATCTATGTGTTTGACGGCTTAGATCAATATAGTAGAATAAATTGAACGGTGGATGGGATGATTCTTCAGTACAACAGTAGTCCTTGTGCACGAGAGTATCTCTTCCCTACAAAAACCCCTTCTCTAGTACAATTGTACAAACCCTCGTCCCCCTCGTTAGTTTTCTATTCCAATTTCCAACTTTCCCTCTCAGTTCTCAGAGTTCCTCCTCCTTCTCGCGATGAAAACCAGTTGCACAGCCAACACAGAACTTGTACGCTGCATTGCAGCTTCCAACAGACCCTCCGAGCATAAACCCTACTTTTCAAAACGATTTCTATGCAAGCCCGAGTTCCTGTGCTTCTCCGACAAACTTCGGCTACTGTCAACCGGTGGCAATGTTGCGAGAACAAAACGAATTGTGAAGCAAAGTTCAATAATCTCGAACTCGAATAGAAATGGTGATGGAGAAGGTCTGACATACAAGGACGCTGGCGTCGACATAGATGCAGGGTCGGAGTTAGTTCGAAGAATCTCGAAGATGGTTTCGGGAATCGGAGGCTTTGGAGGCCTTTATCCCCTCGGTATTTTTTCTTACTTCTTATCACCATTTTTTTTTTTACGTCAGAGGTTCTATTTAATTCACGAAGAAGGAAAGAAGTGATGGTTAGTTCCCTAATGACCCGTTTGAGCATTATAGAGACTCTTAGGTTATAACTAATTTATGAACTCTTTGCTTCATTTTACAGAAAAAGCGACAAAGTTTTCTTCTTTCCATTTCGTCATCTTTCTAAGAGCTACTTTTTATTCAAAATTTACAACTTTTGGTGTCTGGAAACTTTTCCCAAGATTCTCACAGTGTTCTCATCAACAGGGGATTCCTACCTTGTTGCTGGTACAGATGGTGTAGGAACAAAGCTTAAGCTTGCTTTTGAAACTGGAATACATGAGACTATTGGGATTGATTTGGTATAATTTGAACTGAATCTTTCAATGTGTATTATAAGAATAAGTTTAGGATTTGTAATGTGCCTGCTTTCCAGGTTGCCATGAGTGTCAATGACATTGTCACATCTGGAGCAAAGCCACTGTTCTTCCTCGATTACTTTGCAACAAGCCATCTTGATGTTGATCTTGCTGAAAAGGTGGAGTCTGCCTTAAACATTTACTTGATGAGAGTTTCATTTGTAAATGCAATTATTAATTTGTGGTAAAAGGCAGTTCTCTGATTTCCCTTGCTCGCTCAGGTTATAAAAGGTATTGTTGATGGATGCCGACAGTCTGATTGTGCTCTTTTAGGAGGAGAGGTATTTCCATTTCTTTATGTGCACTTATGCTCATTTTTTGTTCTGAATGTCAGTGAATATGCATGCATGCACAAATAAACTTCTGGGAAGTTTTTCGCTTAGCTTAGCTTATTAATGGTGAGGTTGTAGATGTGGTGCATGTAGAAGGGGTTGAGGCTGCCTAATGGTGGATGATGTGGAGAGGTTTCATTTCTCACAATTGTGTGACTATCACTATATGATGTCTTGCTTTTTACTCAGTTATTGGTTAGGAATGGATATGATTGGTTCCACTGCCACAAAAGGTTTTATTCTCCACCCTCCCTTTTTCCTTCTTCATTGTAGAAGATTGATACAACAACTACATGGGGCCATCTGCATAAATCTTCTTTTGCAATTTTACTTGGTATGGTTAAATTGTAAGCCCTTGAATCATTTTTCATTATTTCAACTGATGTTTTTTATTGTCTTTCCTTAGCCCTTTTAAACCCTTCCACTTGCATTGGGTCACTTGTTTTTATCAGTGAAGAATAATTACATGATTACATCATTTTCATCATTGTAGAAGATTGACAATATTAAGAAATGATGGATATACATGCTTTGTATCTTTTTGTTTTTTTTTTTAATGTTCAGCAGGGATTTCTTATGGACTATAGTTTGAATATATCTTATGCATACCAAAATTCATTCCACCATGCTTGGTTTGCTAAGCAATTATATAAATATTCTCTCTCTCTCTCTCTCTCTCTCTTACACAGCTAACAGCTTCGGTACATGATTTCCAAGTTCTGAGGATATGAATTATCTAATTAGTTATTCTATTTGGATGATCTACAAATGCCTCTAGTTTTCCCCAAAGCTTGGACTGTATGAGAGAAATACAAGGTTGTTAGCAACTTAGCATTGATTTTGGTTGAAATCTGTTTGACCTGCAGACAGCAGAAATGCCAGATTTTTATGCTGATGGGGAATATGATCTCAGTGGGTTTGCTGTTGGTATTGTAAAAAAGGATGCAGTAATTGATGGTAAAAACATTGTGGCTGGAGATGTTCTCATTGGTCTTCCATCAAGTGGAGTCCATTCTAATGGGTTCTCTCTTGTGAGAAGGTTGGTTATACTTAAGTAATATGTGTTTCACAATTATTTATGTGACTTGAATGATATAATTATGTATACAATTAATGCATCATGTTAGCTTCTTTTCTTAGATGTTCATCAATAATTATCAGCCTAGGATTTGAGTGCTCCCCATTTTTCTTATATGGGGTGCCCTCTCCTAATCAAAGGCAGTGAAAGATAAGAGACCCCTGTGATTGCTTTGAATAAGAGAGGCACCCATTTTATCAAGGGGCAGTCATATGAGCTTCCAAAATTTCAATTATTTGTTGAACTTGAATGATGGTAGTCCGTAATCACAATTTTTCATGCTTTGACCTTTTCTTAGAATTAAATCAAATAATTCATATCAAATCATAACTGATCTTGCCATTTTCACTACAGGGTCCTAGCCCGAAGTGGTCTTTCTTTAAAGGACCAACTTCCTGGAGAGCCTATTACACTAGGTGAAGCTCTTATAGCTCCAACTGTTATCTATGTTAAGCAGGTTTTCCTTGGCCCTCTGGTCCATATTTGAGTTTCTCAAAGTTATAGTAGTGATTAAATTTTTGGAAACAAAGTAATCCTATCTTTAAATTTGAATATAGGTGCTTGACATTATAAACGAAGGAGGTGTGAAAGGGATAGCCCACATCACAGGTGGTGGCTTTACAGAAAATATACCTCGGGTCTTTCCGAAAGGTCTTGGGGCGGCTATCTATAAAGGCTCTTGGGAAGTCCCTCCTATTTTCAAATGGATCCAAGAGGTACGAAAATTTCTGTAACAATTTTGGTTTGAGTTCGTATGGACCATTTCTTATATTGTAGCAAAGTGCATGAAAGTTTTCTTTTGTTCATAATTTTTCTTTCTTTGTCTTTTTTGACTGGATTTTGAGGGGTGGGATTTTTTCTGTATTTAGTTCATTTTGTAAATTGTTATGTTTGTGCAGGCTGGAAAGATAGAAGATGCAGAGATGAGGCGAACGTTCAACATGGGTATTGGGATGGTTTTAGTTGTTAGCCCAGAGGCATCGGTTAAAATTCTTGGAAAGGGAAATGGAAGAAATTTAGCATATCGAATTGGTGAGGTCATAAGTGGGGAAGGGGTGAGCTATCGCTGAAATTCCTTCCCTCAACTCCATTTCCCAACTCTTCTGAGAAGCAAGTTTTCTTTTTTCCTGTTCTTGCTCATTGTGAAGCTTTGAAATGTTGGTCAAAGCTAAATATCAGTTATACTAGTTCTTGTATTGTAACATTATAAAACAATAATATCATAAGTTTAAATATGGAGAAATGTTGGTCAAAGCTAAATATCAATTATACTGGGCTTACATATATATATATATATATATATATATTGCTAATTGGTAATTACATACCCAAAAATATAAAATCTAATAGCGAGCAGATTTTCATCCATTTTATATTTCTACTCCGTTACATTTAGGACAATTCGGCCTAACTACATATTTGTATGCAATGTTTTAAAAACCAACCCCGACGCTCAATCATTTTTGCCTTTAGATCAATGGTCACTAATTTGACTTTTAGGTCGAATGGGTCATGTCATGTTTATACGCACGTAGGTTTAAACATGTATTATATCGATAAAATAATGCAAAATTATATATTATATTATGCTTAAATTATTATTTTTTTTGTTTTAATTTTTTATTTGTAAAAAATTAATAACATGTGCATCAACGAAACTGCTTAAGCGAGGTTTCTGACTAGGTTTTTATTCTTAAATTATTATTGCTGGCAAAGTAAGACATAGAATCTTGTATATATTTATATATATTTACTCTCACTTGATTGTTTATTTATCTCATTTATTTATTAAATTAAATTAATTATTACTTAACTATTTACAATTATCTCACTATATAAAACAAAAATACAATGACAAAAGTCATCTCTCCCTCTTTCACTCTATTGCTTGATGGTTGTCATTATTTACATATTTATTTATTATATTATTTTATTAAGTTAAATATATCATTATTTATAAATTTTTATTTATTTTAATTAGATATTTTTTCAATAAAATTTTAATAAAAAAATTTACCTCTCACAAATATTTCTTTTCCTATATAATAATTTATCTTTTGACAAGCCTCTTACCATCATATTTTGCCCGTTCAACGCAGGGGAATAAAACAACTTGATGTACTTAAAATACTAGCAGCCTAGCACATTACATGTGCATCAACGAAACTTCAACCTAAAAGGTTAAGCGAGGTTTCTGAATAGGCTTTCATTCTTAGAACTCTTCATCACATAAGAATTCCTATTCGTACCTTATGTTAAAATTTAACTAATTATGAGGAGACAATAAGGATATTCAAATAGGCTCTCATACCTATTCAGAATAATAATCAAACAACTGTTAAAGCTTTTAGGTGAGATTGATGATGATGTGATAGGTGGAAAAAGAGGACAAAAACTGTTGATGATTGTACCACAAGCAGAGCTTTCATACCATTTCAAACAATTGTTAAACTTTTAAGAGAAAAACAAATTGGAAAATTACACATAGATACATTTTTTTTATAGAAAAATCTTAGGGGCTACATAAGCAGGGTATCAACGAGCCGAGCTTTTCACGAGTTGTTCGAGCTCGGCTCAGCTCGGTTTTAACTGAACTTGAGCCCAATTCATTGGCTCAATTATGAAATGAGCTGAGCTCGAGCCTATTAGAACTCAACTCATGAGGCTCGTGAGCCGGCTCGAATATATATATATATATATATATATATATATATATTATAATTTAATTGTTTTATAATTCTTATTTTTTAAATATCAAATAAAAATATTTTTATAATTTTTTTTCTCAAAATCGAGTTTGAGCTTATGAATTTTTAACTCGAGCCGAGCTCGAACTTGTGAATTTTTGACTCGAACCGAACTCGAGCTCAAGGTTCTGGCTTGAACCAAACTCAAACCTTGTAGAATAGTCTCAAGCGTCATACTATTTAGCTCGGCTCAACTCGAATCCACCCCTAAAACAAGAGGATACAACAAACAAATAGGTAGGGTATTAATACTTGATTACCATGAATTTTCAAAAATAGATACTTAGGTTTATCCCTTATTCTGTCCGTTAAACTTTACATAATATTAAAATTACCCTTCTTATGTAGTTTATTTATTTAATCAATAAATAAAACCAAAGCCAAACAATCCCTCCGATAAAGGACGAACAAAGACGACCAAAATCAGATTTTTGGCCATTTTCTCTGCTAGTTCCGTTGCGCTGCTCTGTCGTTCAGAGCTGCGAATCAAAGAAATACCGATGAGAAGTTAAGAGGAGGGGTGTTCGCCATTAAATCTCCACCTCGACCTCCGGGTTCTGGTCTGAGAGAGATAGAGCAAGTGATCTACTCAGAAGTGTATGCAATGCAGACACAGGCGTCACGGGACTTTTGTTTCCATGCTTTCAAGGCTTTTCTCGGGAGGTTTAGCAACTCGAGAAGTTCTGTCTAATTCAAAAGAACAATGTTTTAACTGAAATTTTATTTTTCTCTTTTCTTGATTTACTTTTTTATTTTTTGGTTTGTCCATTTACGTTTCTTCAAATGAACTTTTGCATAGTTTCAGTAAATTATTCTGTAATTTCAGTTTTAATTGGGCTTCATCAAAACGCAATATAGGATTCTTGTTGCATGGTTAAGTCTTGTTTTCCTATCTCTCTTTAAATACAAAAAACCCTTCGTCTTCTTCTTTTACTTCTTTTAATTTTAAATTTTGCTTTTCGTTTTTCTTTGTTTCCTGTTTTGTACTGCCCAATTTAGTCTTAGAAGTAACTCCTGCTCGAATGAAGTGATTTTTCATTATGTTCTTTTTCAATTTCCTTGGATGATAGCTAGTAAATTAGTAATGCGGTTGGATTCTATCAACCTTTCATATTTCGTTTTCTTCTGGTCCTTGGATGGTTTCTAATGTGAACTCAGCATTGAGGAATCACTTTTTTCTGCACTCACAGAGATTAAAGAAAAGTTGAAGAAAAGCGAAAGTTGATCTTCTCTTTTTTTATCCTGCTAGGTGCTTGGTCTGAGATAGAATAACAGAAAAGCTACAGAAGATCTCTGTTCCCATGGGAAGAAGTTAGAGTTTCATCTTCTTCTTCTTAGTAAAATTCATCAATTTAGTGCGTTCAGGTAGTTTTGGTGATGATTTTACTTCGTCGGTGATTTCCTACCCTCACCGGCTATGTGCTTTTTCGCTGAACTCTCGGATAAGAATGGGCAATAGTGATGCCCAGACCGAAAACTACCCATATTTTTTGGTCATTTTCATTTTTTTTTTATTTTAATAATTCAAAAATATATGGATATTTCGGTAATTTTATAATATATCATAACGTGAATTAAAGTGTTTATTTTTGAAAGTTCAGGATACTCAAGGGTTTTTATTGTTCACTCCACCCTAGATATCTGAGCCCCATCGTAAGGTGGAATGAATCTTGATTGTGGATTGGTATTAAATTTATGGTCAGGATGCGGTTTATAGAGGGCTTATTAGTAGACTAAAGGCTTATTCATTTGCTCTGAAATTTGACATATGAAAGTGTAATAATTACATTAAGAGGTATATTGGTATTGGTGAACTTTTCTTTCCTCTCAACTTTAAATGCAGAGAATGTTGTTCTGAATTCCGAACTCTGAATTCTGAAAACTATCAAATATCTATTTTGACCCTATGTATGAGAGTTTTTGTTTCTCTTTTTGGGGTATCATTGAAAAACAAAAAGTTGTATGATTGCACTTTAAGAGATAAGAGATAGGAGGAAACGAACTATCAATTTTCTATTAAAGTTAAAAGATTCCTCTTAAGATAAAAGAGTTAAGAGGAAACGAACAGACCCTAAAAAGAGCTGCATTTTTAGATTTCTGAGGTGGATTGCAGTCTACTTATCCCTTATTACAATTGAAAGTTCAATCAATTATCTATCACTACCCTCAAAGTACTTAAAAGCTGAAAGTTGAAGGAACCTATCTATCGGTGTCCCCAAAGTATATAATATTTATATAATTTACCCTATGTTTTAAAACCATAGATTGTTTTCTTTCTAATTTCCCAGAAGATCACCAAGTTTACGCAATCTCTCTTATTAAAAAAGCTTTAGGACCCAGTTCATCACCAAGATTACAAGCCTCTCTAATTAACAAACGTTTCAAGGATCCAATTGTGTTTCTTCTTAGTATGGAGCAATTAGAAGGTAATCGATTTAAGCAAGGCTTAAAATATCGATACGCCCGGGCGTATTGGGCGATACTGATACATTTTTTTTTTTACTTTTTTTATTTTTTTTTTCAAAATCGGTTCAGGAGGCTGGTTTAAGGCTCCTCCACCCCCTGAACTGGTCAGAACCTCAATACACCCACTATAGGGGCATATCGGAAAGGTCTTGGAATGATACGTATCGGCTGATACGGGCCGATATGTGTCGATACTTTGAACATTGGATTTAAGTAACAAATCTAAAATGTCTGAATGACGTAACATGGTCGGAATGCTGAATGAAGAAGAGTAGGTAGGAAAGTAGGTAATGGTAGGGGTGCTCATGGTTCGGTTAATCGAACCATGGGGCTCATTTTGTAACCAAACCAGTAGTACCGGTTTTTGGAAAACCAATAACCAAAACCGAACCGAAACCTATCAATTAACCGTCGATTTGATTCGTCGTTTTTTAATTTTTACAATATAAAATTATAAATATATATAAAATATTTTTTAAATAATAAATAATATATCATATATTATAAATATATATTTATATATATAATGCATATTTATTAATTTATAATATATAAAAAATATATATAATATACATAAATATATATTATATAGAAATATATGTATACCGATCGATTCGATTAACCGCCGATTTTTTGTATTGGTTAACCAAAACCGAACCGAGACCTTTGGTTTTTTTAAAAACACCGAACTGACCAATTCAATTAACCAATTTTTCTGTTCGATTTCAATAGATTTGATTTTTCAGTTTTTTTGCTCACCCCTAGGTAATGGAGAGCTTGTAATGGGAGGACTAAACGTTCGTGGCTCACGCATGAGAAGCTTGTAAGTGTGTCTTGGACACGTGTCTCCACCTAATATTGTTGATAGAGATGGGTTTACTTTCACCGGTGTAGCAGTGCAGCAGTGGTGTGCTAACTGAAACTGCAATATCCGCAAAAGTGAGTAGCTCTTCCTTTGGGACATCTAAGTGTATGCCTGTTCATCTAGTATTTCAAATTCTTTAACAACTTTCCGTTTCTATGGAATCAA